TATATATATATATATATATATATATATATATATATATATATATATGCCTTTTTATAACAGTCTATTGTTGTCGCTGTTGTCCATTGTTGTCATCATTCTTTGTTGAAATCAGGTCTCTCTTGTAAATGCGTCCTCGAGGCTCAATGGGATTTACCTGTCTAAATAAAGGTTGAGTGAATGAAAAAGTGTTTACATGAACACCATTTGGATTATGAATCGGCACAAACCACCCCTCTCATTCGGTTTTACAAATTATTTCGGGTCGAGCTTAATCAACAAAGAATAATCCGAATGGAGCGTTTACATGACATTTTTATTCTGAATGGCCGTTTAATCAGATTACTTATGACCATGTAAACATAGCTACTGTATCTTGGTACAATGATAAAGCTTATTCTGATTCTTTAGTGGTCTGAAACCTCAGGTTTGTCCTGAACCACATAAAAGCCCATACTACAACCCACTGTGGCACTACACATGGAGCAGCTAACTGTTTTGTTTTGGGGGTTTTTGCAATCCAAGTTACATACGACAAACATTTCTTTTGTAAACCAAAAAAGAAAAAAGTTTGAGCCTACATTCAAATAATGCAACAGCAATCTGTGTGTATATACAAAGATTTTACTGAACTGGCATCCATGTCATTGAGCAAACAAAGTTGATTAACAAAAACTTATTAGATGAAATGGATCAAAAGTTTTTATGTTTAAATTATTATCGACTTAAATAGTAACTGTTGTTGACCCCATATTGGGGGGGGGGGGGGGGAGATCTGCATCAACCTTATTTCCAACAGTTTGTAGCGTGTGCACATGCTATATGAATCGGTTCTGGACAGGCTGTACATTTTAGTCCTTGACTCACCTTATTTTGGTTATTGTTGTCATACCGCAGCCTCTGACGATTCTTGTTCAGCTTGCTCATCAGCATCTTCCCTGTGCGAAAATCGAAGGAGCTGAGGTCCATCTGGTTACCGAGGTAACGGGCCAGCTGAGGCTTGCTCCGAAACTTCTTCCCAGATGGACTGATGAGGCAGATGGGTGAACCAAGACAAAAACAAAACCACTATTAATCCAAACTCTTCAACAGAGGTAAGACGAAGTGCGGACAAACACACAAAAAGTGAAGACGGAACGTGCAACAAGTCGAAAAAGCCAAAAGAAGCAGGTCAAATGAGCAATGAGACTGGAATCACAGGACTAGAACTTTGTGAGATGAATGAGCACCCTCTTTAAGCGAGGTCTCGCAAAAGCTGCAATAAGTCAACTCACAAATGGAGCGATGTAGAGCTTCAAAATGTACCTCTAGAAAGTTGCTAACTGTAAACCAAATGTTTCAGGATGGAAACATTGCAGCTGTGCTGGAAGCTGTATCTTTAGCCTGAGCAATGACCAAGAACAACAAAAACACTGTGGGTGGATTCGTGCTAGCAGCTCATGCACATGTATGTTGCATCACACAGAACCGATTGTAGTCAGCCTACCACAAACTATACAATCGACCCGCCTCCCCCCTCTCTTGCCTCTGTTCCTCATCTTGCTCTTCTCCTCTGCTAAATGAAAACAAACCTGTCGTTGTTGATTCACTTCAGAGGGAAAGTAAACCTGCAAACACACGGCTGCTTGTTTTATGTAGCACTAGCCAGCACAGGCCGGACAAGAGGTGAAGGATAGCTTTGTTATATCCTGCCACAAACACCTTTCAAACTTTAGACAAAACAGACACCCCCTCCCTCCCCACGACCATAGTCCTGTCTTGTTTCCGTCCATATACTCGGTGTAACAGTGATTACAAGTCTCGCTCGTTTAGTACCTAAAATAATAGACATCGCTTTTCCCAGCTGACAAACCCGACTTTCTCGTCACTTCTTCCATTTTCCAGCCTTTGGGGAGAGCACTGCAATCCCACCTTTTCTTCTCCATTATCCCACGCGAGTAAGCAAATGAATCCACTTAACGTTACTACTGTTATTCGGGTTTTAGTGTTAAGAAATGTGACGATATTGTTTTAGTAGCGGGCCTATCGCTTTCTCACGCTTTTGTTTCGACCATTTTAAAACGTGCGAACCCTGTAATGGGATCTTCCGAGCTAACGTCTCATGTCTTTGTGGCGACGCAAATCGCTCCGCCATGGAGCTGTCAGCCTCATCACTACCTACAGGGGCTAGCGGAGGCTACATGCGCGTGGAAAGAAGGGCAGCCCGGCTCCGTAAAGACAAACGGAACAAGACAGGAAGCTCGTAAATTCAAATTTCAGAATAAAAGAATTGATTCGTCGTCCACAAATAGGTTTCTAGAATCACGATTTTGTAAGAGTATATGTAATAAAATGGGGGAGAAACAAAAGATTCACAATTTCACATGTTTTAGATAAACATGCATTTGTTCAATTAAATCACTCTTTCATCATTCTTTGTTGAAATCAGGTCTCTCTTGTAAATGAGTCCCCAAGGCTCAATGGGATTAACCTGTATAAATAAAGGATGAATGAATGAATGAAAAAAATATATATTTTTAAAAACTCTTAAAAGAAGAAAAAAAGTCACAAAATCAAACTCTAGCAAAACATTTGAACATCCTCTTAGGTTTTAAAATGGACCTGAAGTAGAAAGACTAATCAGATTATGTTCTTTCTTTCTTTCTGTTTTGTTTGTTTGTTGCTGAATCTGTGACATCTACAGTGAACACGGCTCATTGATCCAGTGCGCTAACTAAACTGAAATAAAATAAAACACAAGACACTTTCGGTTGTCATCTTAAACAAACACACAACTTATTTGAAATTGCTTTAAAAAGATACTCATTGCAAGCTATACAATTAAATATAAGAAAAAGTTATCCTGAACTTTTGTTTACTAAATCATGAAGATTAAAATAATTTACTTGAGAAATTTTCCAGTCATTTTGACGTGCAATTCTGAAATGCAGGTACACACTCAATGTCAACAAAGCCTTTATCTGCATACCTTACCCAACAATTAGTGCAAATATGTACCAACACATTAAAACTGTTGGACTTCTAGATTGTAAACGACTTTTCCATGAACATCGGCACTGTTGACGTATTTGCAGTCATTTCTGCTGTTTTCATTGGTGTTTGTTTTTTTACTTTTGGCAACATTGCAGTGAGAACCTTTAAAAGCTAGTCTCTGAATCAAACACATATTTTGTCATAATTTGCATAACCCATTTTGTCACTTAACTGGTATTTTTTGTTATGAACTAGGTGAGGACAGAGTGAAACAAGAAGTGACAACAAAGGGACTTTGGTTTTTGTTTATTCAAACTCTGACTTCATCTCTTTAACAGCAACTTCAAATAATCATGATTTTTAGCTTCTGTTTGTGTTTTAACTTGAAGCAGGCATTCCTTCCGGTTATTGCAAACATCTCAACTGCTGATCTCAGCAGCATGTTTTCTCCTTCTGTAAAATGCTAATAACGTTACCTTACTAATAATGCATTTGTGCTGATCACGAAACTATTACTTCACAGACAGTTCACGTGAAACGACGCAGAGTTGAGGAAACTCCAGACTTTTATTTTGAAAACATGGAACCGTTTCCTGCTTCGTTCGGTCGGACGCTAAATGCTAGCGCGCGCACAGCGGCGCTAGCGTAGAGATTCATTTCGATAACAAATAGATCGTAGTCACGAAGCGGTGGCAACAACATCCATTAATGTTGTTAAACGAATAACACCGACGGACACAGTGGGAAAAAAAAAGTTCAATTTGTGAACTAAAATCCACAAGTTTTAATAAGTTACGTGAAACCGGAAAGCTGAGCACGACAATGAAGACGTTGTCCTTCAGACTTATAGAGCCGGCATTTTTATTCTCAAAGAACAAAGTAAATCTTATCAAATAAACTCACCTAATGTCAAAACGCCATGTGTTTATCGAGTCTTTGAATAATTAGGGCTATTGCCGTAACAATTGAAGACGGCACATGCCTAACATCTCGTGCTGAAACTGCACACCAACGACGCAGTAATGACTTAAATGACTGCAAAGCGCCGCTGTGCATTTTCAGAAGAAAACGCTGCAAAACACGCAGAAATACGGACATGCATCCTGACTGCAGAACACGCACACGCTGCAGAGGGTTTACCTAATCGATGACAAACATACTTTTTAAATCCATATTGAAATAACGTTAAACCTTTCACAAATCTCTGGTTGTCGCCGGTTAACGTTAAAATAATGGGACTTACTCGTTTTTATCCATCTTGAAGACACTATCTCGCTTTCTGGCTCTTGCTGTGTTAAATCCCTTCTCCCCTCTCCTCTTTCAGTCCCCTCCCCCTTCCATGTTAGAATGAGACATTATCCACGCAAATTTCACAGGGGTCTGAGAAATGAGCCTGTTGGACACTGGCTTTATCTCACTGTTCACCACTAAACACTGTGGGGGTGTACAAGCTTAAAGTGCAAGAAAGCATTTTAATCAAATATTAATTTACACGACTCGACGCAAATTAAGCCAACTTATTGATTTATTTATGTCATCTAAACTGAATCAATAAAAACAAGCATCTTTATAGAGAGAATCCTGATGTTTGAGCTCGAACAAAGTGACACATCAGACAGGGCGTCACATTTAAACTCGCCTTTTGTTTGTAACCCACTCCCAGGTTGAGATCCAGTTCTGTAAACGGATATGTGATCCATTTATCAGCAAAATAAGACCGTTTGAACGTGTCAAAAATAATAATAATATGAAGGAAACCTGTGCTATGACAAGCTATTGCACTATTATGATGCAACATCTCAAAGTATTATCTGAAAATTAAGTTGTAATATCAGTATTTTAATAAGATTCAAGAACACTAAGACCACAACGCTGTCTTAGGTTATTTTTTTCCCCAGTGCTCAAGTTTCCTCACAGACTAAAAACAGGTTAATTGATAACTAAATTGTTACAAGGTGTTTCTGAGATCGTGAACAGTTGTCAGTGGTTTGTCTTCATGGGGCAATGTGATGGAGTTGTGATGTGTTCAGGCTGCACCACCTCCCGCATGATGACTGTTGGCACCAGCTACACTGCAACCCTTCAAAAACAAAACAGGAAGGCTAAAGATTTATGTACTGTAGCTAAGGTCAGTTTATTCATTGTTGACATATCATTACAAAATACCGACTTCTGATTTTTATTTCCATTTATTACATTGCATATCTTAAGTTTGTAAATTTGTTTTCTCACTGTAAGTTTGCTAGTTTGTTTCAAAGCAAAGGTTCTTTGTCATTCGCACCACATGTGGTACATGTTGTGGAACGAAATTGTGTACACAAGGTCCCAGTTACTGCCTCTCAGCGAGAAGGTCCTTGGTTCAAACCCCGGTCCAGGGGCCTTCTGGGTGGAGTTTGCATGTTCTCTCCGTGCATGCGTGGGTTTTCTCCGGGTGCTCCAGTTTCCTCCCACAGACCAAAAACATGCATGTTAGGCTGAATGGTAACTCTAAATTGTCCCTAGGTGTGAGTGAGAGAGTGAATGGTTGTTTGTCTCGTTTGTCTCTATGTGACCCTGTGATGGACTTGCGACCTGTCCAGGGTGTACCCCGCCCCTCGCACAGTGATTGCTGGACATGGGCACCAGCGACCCCCGTGACCCAAAATGGAATAAGCGGGTAAAGAAAATGGATGGATGGTCCCAGTTACATCCAATAAAAGTATTAAAATGTAAAAGGGTACTATGTACTAAGGGTACAAGTAATAAGATTTAAGATATAGACTAAGAAAACATCAACTATACACTAAGCACTAATAGCATAAAAACAATACACCGAACAGCAGCACACACGAGTCTGTGTGAGCATATAAGCACACATGTACACAGTAACATGAAACAGATCAGCAGTAACATGAAACAGATCAGCAGCAACATGAAACAGACCAGCAGCAACATGATGTGATTTTTCACAGTGATTATTCTGGTTAGAGATTCATGAGTCTAACAGCCTCAGGGTAGAAGCTGTTCCTCAGTCTAGTGGTTCTACACTTAATGCTCCTCATTCCTGAGGGGAGCGAGGCAAAAAGTGTGTGTGCTGGGTGAGTGGGGTCCTTCATGATGCAGGTGGCTCTTCCTGCATCTGGAGATGTAGATGTCTCTGATGGTGGAGAGACTGACTCCAACAGACTTCTGTGCAGCCTTCATCACTCTCTGTAAAGCTTTTCTTTCTACAGCTGTGCAGCCTCCATGCTACATGTTGATGCTCGAGCACAGGATGCTCTCCACTGCGCACCTGTAGGAGGTGAGGACTGAGCTTCCCAGACCAGCTCATCTCAACCGCCTGAGGAAGTAGAGTCTCTGATGAGCTTTCTTGATCAGGCTGGTGGTGTTGTTGCTCCAATTGAGGTTGTCATTCAGGTGCATACCCAAGTACTTGTAGCTGGAGAAAACTTCTGCCGCAGATCCTCCTATGTTTGGGGTGAGGGGGTGGGGCTGGGGGGTAGGTGTGTTTGTTCCTTCTAAAGTCCATGACCATCTCCTTCGTCTTCTTCACATTGATATGAAGGTTGTTCTTCTCGCACCAGGTGTTCCACCTCCTGCCTGTAGCTGGACTCATCGTTTGTGATGCATCCCACCACCGCTGTATCATCTGCAAACTTTACAATGTGACAGCCTGGATGGGTGCTTCAGTCATATGTGAGCAGAGTGAACAGGAGAGGGCTCAGCACACAACTGAGGAGAGCCAGTGCTGAGGGTTATGACAGAGGAGGAAAAGTTGTGGATCTGAGTAGTTTGTCCATCACTGTTTGGGGAAACATGGTATTGAAGGAAGGCGTAAAGTCTACAAAGAACATACGGACATAGGAGACCTTCTGCTTCAGGTGGATGAGAGCAGTGTGGACCACAGAGGAGATGACATCCTCTGTAGCTCGGTTCTCACGGAATGCATACTGATGAGGGTCCTCGTTGATGTCGATGGTAGCTTTGATGTGAGTCATGACCAGTTTTTTGAATTATTTAGCGACTATCGGGGTGAGGGCCACTGGCTGAGTCATTCAGACCAGTCACTGTAGAGCTCTTTGGGACTGGGATGATGGTGGCAGTCTTCAGGCAGGTGGGAACTGTCTCCAGGGTAAGTGAGGAGTTAAAGATGTCTGCCAGCACCTCGCAGAGCTGGTCACCACATTCTTTCAGCACCTTCCCAGGGATGTTGTCTGGGC